TCGCCCAGGCTGGAGTGCAATGGTGCGAGGCTTACTATTACCTCCGCCTCATGGGTTCAAGTGATTCTCCTGTCTCAGCCTTCCAAGGAGCTGGGATTACAGGCATGAACCACTGTGCCGAGCCAATTCCTGGTCATTTTTCTAGGTAATAAAGTTGCTGGCTAAGACTGCTAAATAAATCAGGTGCCTGCATTAAAGAATGAAATAATACACGTGGTCCTTTAGTGCATATAATTCCAGTTAGCATCTAGATATACAATGACATGGCAATTTATGGTAAAATTAGTAAGACTGTTTGAAAATAAAAAAGACAATCAAGATTATGTTAAGTTATAAAACTTCCAAGAATTATTAGGTCACATCAGCTATTCTCGACAGGGGTTTTGTGAGAGAATTAAGTTCTAATGCTCTCAGGCAGCTACTATATGTAATAAAGCAAATTTTCTCCTATGCTTCTAGAATGGTGTTTGTGTAAACCATCCTTAGAAAAATTGAGAAAACAGTCACTCAAATGATTTTTTTGTGTTCAGTGGTTGTCAAAAACTCTGGCTGAGAGCTCAAATAAAAAGACATGCCTTATTATAAAATCTAGTAGATTTTCTGAACACAAAGAAGCCAAGCCATGTGCAGTGGTGTATATCCGTGGTCTTGCTATTCAGAAGGCTGAGGTGAGAGATCTCTAGACCAGCCTGGCAACACGGTGAGATACTGTCTCTGAACAAAAACCAAAACAAAAGGCCAAAAAATTGACAAAACTTAGTAGACACTTTTGAGTGAGAACTTCCTAAATCATGAAGAGTTTAAACACTTCATCAGAGTCTCAATGACATCCCTGATGTGAACACAAACATTATCATAACTGCTGCTCTCAGTGGCGTGCCACGCTGTCGGATCTGCACGGGCAGCAGGAGAGCACTCAGCCTTCACATTCTAACTCGCACGTGTCTATCCACTTACCAGCTGCAGCTGATAGAGCTGGTTCAACATCGTCATATGCTGAGGATTAATTGGCGAGGTTAATAGTGCAGGGTTGAGACCAATATTTTTTGCTGCAAACTGCAAAAGCTGTGCTTGAACCTGTTTAACATAAAATATACCATTAGCCACTGTATCTCTACTAAATAGTTGCTTGTTCATATAGTTTTTCAAAATTCAAAACTGATTAAATAAGTGATAATCATTTATTTCACGGGTGAAATCAGTAAGACTGATTTATGGTGAAATCAGTAAGACTGAAAATAAAAAGGACAAGATTATGTGAAGTTATAAAACTTCCAAGAATTATTAGGTTACACCAGCTATTCTTGACTGGGGTTTTGTAAGAGAATTAAGTTCAAAGGTCACAAGGCCATTAACAAAATTTATGGACATTTTAACATTAGCAGTTAGCATGTGAAGAATGAGAAAGAAAGGAAAAAGAAAGAAGGAAGGAAAGTCTTCAGAGATCTCTTCCTCCAAGTATTTTAATTATAAACGAACTTTCCAAGGTTCTGTGTCCTTCCTATCAGTACTTACACGTAAACATGGAGATATGGAAGAAACAGTGAGATGGCACACAGATGCCTTCCCGTTTGGGACACGCTGGTTTGCTTTGTGTGGGGAAGACTGCTAACTGCTTCTTCTGCTATCAGCTCTCAGACTCGGTGCAGCTGTGGCCTAGGTTTGGGCAGTGGGATGCTACCAAAGGTGGTCTGTGCAATTTCAAGGCCACCCGCACAACGGTGCTGCCTTTTTCCCTGTTGCTGGGAAGTGGCTGTGGCAGAGCTGCCCCCAACCCCTGCACTGCTTTCCTTCTGCACTGTAACCTGAGAGCGCTCAATGTCTACCTAGTTAAACTACTGTTTTTTGAGGCCTCTTTGTTGTAGCAGCTTATCCTATATCCTAATACATTCAATTATTATCTACTAAGATAACCTGCATCTTATCTTGTTATCTATTATCTTATTACCTGACAATAGTTAAATGCATTAGTTACATTGATAGTTGTGCACTATCAACTCAGTGCACAAACCTGGGTTCAAACAAAGACAGAATGATACTTACCCTCAGTGCAGTGCCAGCGCATCCTGCTCTTTTTCGTATGCTAGCACTGCCTTCCCATAGGCTATGGTTTGAATGTCTGTGTCCCCCCAAAATTCCTATGTTGAAAACTAAACCCCGTGGTGGAATTAAGAGCTGGGGCCTTTGGGGGGTGATCAGAAGCCCCATCATGACCGGAATTAGCACCCTAAAGACAGAGGCCCGAGAAAGCTTGTTTGCCCCTTCCACCACATCAGGATGGATGCAAGTTGCCATCTATGAGAAACGAGCCCTCAGCAGACACTGAATCTTCTGGCGCCTTGATCTTGGACTTCTCAGCCTCCATATTCCAACAAACTAAACACATTTAAATTAAATTTTATGAATAATAGAAGATTGATAAGTTAACATGTTCTCTTTTGGAACAGGTTGAAAATAAGGCCCCTCAGAAATCTTAACTATCTTCCTGGTAACAGAGGTCTCCTGGGGAAGGAAGCAGTTTTTTTCCCTCTCTGCTAGAAGCTAGAATACGGTAAGCACTTCAAGATGCTGTTGCTCTCTCAGGGCAGGGTTCCAGTCAAGCTTCACTCCAGAGTCATGTATCAAGTAGGGCCCTGAGTTACCCCATGCAGCAAAGATGTTGTTAATACCACAGATTATCAAGTATCTTATAAGGGGTAAGAACTAACACTGTTATTAAAAACTTAGTCCAAAATCTAAAATTATAAAATGTGCCCAAAATAAACAATATTAACAAATGATATATATTAGGCCTCAGAGATATGCAAAACAGCAAATATCCTTTTCCTCAATTTCATTTGACCTTTTTTCCATTTTTTTTTTTTTTTTTTTTTTTTTTTTTTTTTTTTTTTTTTTTTTTTTTTTTTTTAGATGGAGTTTCTGCTCTTGTTGCCCAAACTGGAGTGCAATGGCATGATCTTGGCTCACTGCAGCCTCCGCCTCCTAGGGTCAAGTGATTCTTCTGCCTCAGCTTCCCAAGTAGCTGGGATCACAGGCATGCACCACCACATCTGGCTAATTTTGTATTTTTAGTAGAGACGAGGTTTCACCATGTTGGCCAGGCCGGTCTTGAACTCCTGGCCTCAGGTGATCCACCCACCTCGGCCTCCCAAAGTGCTGGGATTACAGGTGCGAACTGCCTTGCCCAGTAACCGTTTTTCTTAATAATCTCTATGGTTTACTCCTGAAAAGGGATTAAAG